GCGATGAGTTTTCTTGTATTCTTCGGGCCATCCGATGAAGAACTACCGAGTTATGTCATCGCTGAGTCTGCGGTTAAACTTTGAAGTGCTTAACCTCATCATTTTCTTTTGTTAAACTCGGGCTTAAGTTTACGATATATTTATTCAACCAGAGATTATCGATTATTTTTCCGTCCTGGTCTCCTGATCTTGTGGTAATGGCGGTATATTCTCGGAGGTATTATCAATGTTGATGAAACGACGCCTGATCCTTCGAAGAAATATGTTTTCTGCTAACCAGCTTACCATAACTTCTTTATTGATTTGACAAATTGAGTTGCGAAAAAATAGCTTAGTGTTATTTTATGTCCTTTCTTTAATTTCAGTTTCATCATCTATATTGAATTACCTTTGCTTCCCTGAGTCTCTGATCCACGTTCATTTGATTTCGACTTGGCATTCAAATTATTTCTTTCATTTCAATTGTTCAAGAAAGATCCAGAGTAATACAAAGCTCGGATGTGTGGTTTCTGTTATAAATCAATTTAATGCATTTTTATTGGGTTAGTCATATGTAGGGGTGTGTTAACCAACGAACCTTGTATATTATATAACAATCTATACTTCGTTGAAGACATATCTACTACATAATTCTACATGTATACATAATTTTTTAAAATTAAAAAAATAAAATTAAAAATTAAATAAAAATACACTAACACAAAACATGGATACTAAATTTAAATTGACTTTGAGCTCGGTTCTTGAATCTTACTAACTAATGATCTTGTCTTTAAAGTCTGCAAGTTCGACTTGAGCTGTCTCTTGCCCACATACGCACAAGTAGCTGCTTATCCGTGCAGCCGCACTGACTTGAATGTGTGATGTGTTCTTGTTCATTGCGTCAGTCTGAGGCGATCGCCGCGAGGCAGAGCTAGGGAAGACGCGGGCCCGTTGTTTGGGCGGTAGGTCCTCTTTGCCGACGAGATCGTAGTAACACGCAGTACTACCTGAAATAGCCTCGGCGACGATTCGTTCTCGTAATACCTTCAGCTTGTCGCCACTTCTTTAGAATACCGTTGGTGCCCTCGTACCACTCACCAAATGTCCCCCTACAACACGGAGGTAGTTTCGTCCTGGGAGCTTAGATCGCGGGTGACGCGGCGGTTTTTTTGGCATTATATAGTTCGAGCCCGTCTATATATGGTACTGCGACCGCTGCGTTGATCACTATCGCGGAATGGCCTTTTGCAACCGCCAAGGCAGGACCCTTCGCTTGCGACTTCATCCGACACGACTGCGATGTGGCCAAGAAACCGGTTGCGTTTCTGGGTTCATGTAGTGGAGTAGGAGCGACATGCCGAGACGACGTGTACGATGGCTGGGTCCAAGGCGGGGACGTCTGTCCACTGTCAAATCTGAACACATGTTCACCGCGAACCGGAGGAAGTGATTGAAACATCTCGTTTCTTCCTTGTCCCTCCCGAGTCGAGGGAAAGATGTCCTTCTGGCGCAGGCGTTGCTCCAGCTATCCTCGCGATTTGGCAGTAATTAGACCCTGTACGGGTCGCTGACCTCAGACATACCGACATACTGTCTCCAGCGCGATCTGGGGCATCCTGGCCCGCCGACACAGTGAGAGCATCCCCTTCGCCCCGCCCCCGCGAGACGATTTCGCAACGTCGCCCCGGATGTTACTGTGGGTTAGGGAAGTTAGACACATTGATGACAGCGGCTTCCACGGTGAGCTCCGGGATTGGAGGGCGCACAGACCTCATTCACGGTTAGGAGACCACGTACCACCACTCTGGCGACGGGACCGTCGGGGGCACTGTCTGGTGCGGAGGCAGAGACGGAGGGCAGCTACGCCGGGTCGAGGACAAGGTCTTCCAGCCGTTCGTCCTTCGCATAACCGTTCACCAGGTAGTTGTCTTCATTACCACCGTCTTCTTCATCCTCGGCTTCTGAGGCGACCGGAATCCTCTCATCCCGTTCCTTGCTCCGCCGGCCGCCTCCGTGGGAGGTCGTCGGGTGCGTCTGGAGGGAGCCACTCGGTCTTTAGGGCGCCTTCACACGTCGCCACAGCAGCGCGCTTCCGAGCACCGCGGCTCGTAGCAGAGCATTGGTTTGAAGAGACCTTCCCACGTGCGGCGGGTTTGCGACGGACTCGCCGGGGGGTCGCCGAAACCTACCCGTGCAGAACCCACCTCCTTCTACGTCGGGCGGCGGTGCGGCCGTGGCTGCAGCGGAGGCGGCGTCGGAAGGGCCCTGCTGCTTGACGGAAGCGCGCCGCCGACGCGACGTGGGAAGGCGCCCGTAGGTTTTGCCGCGCGTCCGGCGACGACGAACAAGGGGAGCGCAGCAGGTAAAACGCCGCGACCGGCGGCGCAGTGGGAAGACCATCTTTTGAAGCTATTTTTCTTTGTTTATAGAATAATGTTTTTCTGTAAAAATGCCATTACTACAACGCCTATAACAAAGTAAACATAGGTCTGGTTTATGGTAAAAAACCTCAACTTTTATGAAAAGGGGATTTGTACACCAAATGGTTGCCGTTCATGGATAGTAATACCCCAAACAATTCGCAACCAATTCGCAATGGTACCGATCATTGAAAGTTGTACTTTTCTTGTGTTGTGCTCATCATTGCTAATTAAGAAGAAAAGTCTCGAGTTTTAGTGAAGATGATTTAAATGAGCAACCCTACGTGATGTAGCAAGACAATCTGTGTAGAATTAATAGATCATGAAAGGAAAAGTTTTTAAAATAAAATGGAAACTTGATGTTAATTCAAGTTAAATTCAATGCCAAACTGATGTGTCTATTGGTGTTCTGTAATTAGATTCCATGAGTGTTCAGTTGCCAGCCAATTCCAGCTCAGCTATCTGCTAACAGCTATCTGTTAAAGTCTTTTGCATAACAAATCCCAAGAATAACTCTTCAAAATTCCACGTACATCACGAAAGAACTTGCCACAAAGGTCCAAATGAGTTTACGCCTTTCATTCACGATTATATGATCTCTGAAATCGAAACAGGTTTTTGTGGTCCATTGAAGAATTAAAATAACAATAAATGTAAAAGTGTTATGTTCTTAAAAATATTTTGATTTTTAAAAAAATCACTTCATATTGTTTGTTTTCAGTGTAATGAATAAAATACGCTGTATTCGTATTTTATTGTTAAACCAGCACAAGTATTGGTGCAAAGATATTAAAAAATGATGTAAACAAGTTTTTCAGTGTATAACACATTACTATAAAAATGTTCGTCAATCTTGCAAAACTGTAAAAATTTAAGTGTTGTTTTGTTTCTCCTATAAACTTAAAATGTTTGTACTTAAGAAGTTCTTGATTCTCATCTGTCTTTTCAATGTAAAGAAATATTTTTTCGTACATGGTTGGCTGTAAACTTGTATAACACTTGTAGGCCATCACCAGATATTCTATTATTACAGAAAATTAGTTAACGCAGATCATCAGTAACAGGTATCAAAGAGAATTACAAATACAAGTATCACAGAACAGCATCTTTTAATTACATTCATGTTATAAATCATATGTTACGATTACAAGGATGTAACACGTTCGTGCTCAAGTATAATTTAAAGAAGTCAAGATTGCGTAAAGTACAAAATGTAAAACAAAATATAGAAATCGCGTTCATTTATTCAATGTTTTCATCCTTTTTAAATTCAATTGGGTAGTTTTTTTCGCATGAATCGACGGTAAGATTTGTGCAGTCTAACTCCATTAACGTGATATTTGGGTAATGACTGATATGACACTCCCAAACAAGCTTACAGAAGCAATTCGAACTATGTCCAACTCCAGCGCAGGAAGGTGATCGCAGATCTTCCGCAAGGTAAAACTGACTCCAAATGAACTGCTGCATCAGCACAGAAATAATCATATATTAAATCTGTGGACTTGAGACCATGATACATGGATATGAAAACTAACACATTTTTCATCTGTAAGTGTAAATTACAATTCAGCGAACTGACTTCTTTTGTAAGTATCAAATGCCATGTAACATATTACAACACAACTTTCCTAAACTTATTTTTGTTTTCAAGAAAAAAGAAGAAAAAAAGAGTTCGCCGCTTTTTACAAATACGATACGAATTTTGTTTGAAATATAATTAATTTTAAATGAATGTAGTATAAATATGAAATGCTTAATATAAAGGTATAGAAGCTTACCAATGGCTAATCAGTCAAACAAAATATTTAAAACATGTGAAAACTTCATGCGTTACTAAATTTTGTAATAGCAACATGGCAATGGAAACGGCATGTTAAGATAGCTAGAAAAACCCCAGTGGGTGTCGGTTAACAGAGAGGGAAGGAAAGATACTGGGAAATATAGGAAAGAAGGAATCTGATTGGAGAAAATCAAATGTTACCACCAAGATAAACCATACTATAAACACATCAAAGAGTAAACAATGTAGTATGAATCAACCAATTGAATATTGTGTGTCATTTTGTGTGGTAAATTGGATCAACATGAAAAAGAAATAATTTTGATTATTGCGCATTTTCAATAATGGTTATTAACAAAATATGCAAAACAGAATCATAAATAGATGTAAAAATATTCGACTCTGCTTGATTGCAATTATAGGTTTTTATAAATAAGGTCTCTCGAAATTTGTTTTTGTTCCGTTTTTAGGAATTTGGCTAATTTAAATAGATTTTTTCAGGATTGTCCAAGATAATAATAATATAATAATATAATAATATAATAATATAATAATATAATAATATAATAATATAATAAT